CACACACACACACACACAAGCACACTGCATCATTAATCCCCAGCCCTCAGCATCACCTCTGATGCCATTTGATCAGCAAAAAGAAAGAATTCAACTTGGATTCTCCACATTTGGTCTGTAACTCATGGAGAAATATTCAGCATAAGGAATAATCAATTTTTCTGAACTTTTTTCATGCTGGGAGCTAAAGAAGCAAAAGAGATTGGGAATTAAAAGCAAAACAACAGAAGAACAGCTGATATGAGAGCTGATTATGGCAAGAGAATTTGCTATTTATTCATCAAACAGGATCTTTACAGCAGATAATTCCTCAGCTTTCCACTTAAGGAACCCCTAAAAACAACAAGAATCGAGCAAACAGATTCTTCCTGGGAAAAATATGCAAAAATACTAACTTTTTTTTTATAATCAACATTTTAGACATGTGAGGTCATTCTTCTCAGGTGAAACAATATTATACCTTTCATGCGCCTTGGCCTTCAGCTCCAGATTCCCACAGATGTTCTCAGACTTTTTGGATTTCATTTATCCACAATTGCATTGTTACACGTCATATTTTAAACACCCAAGTAGAAACAAAGGAATGTATTTATCTATCTAGTTAAATATTAGATTTAAAATGCCATTAAAGAAGTTGTAAACGTATTACAACTAGTTTAAAAGCAGTTATCTGTATTTGGATTAATGGCTGGCAATAACTTAACTTACTGTATCACCGTTGCAGTATCAATATTGCAACAGACTGCATGGACCACAATAAATCATATTATCTTCTAAGTGCCTTGCATTCACGCCCTGCATGCCAACATGTTTTGGCCATGCACTTGTTTCTTCAGCGTGTTTATTACAGCTTAACGTGTTGTCGCAAAACTCACCAGTAATATCTCAATTGCATGTTCTGCAGCCCTGTTGCAAATGCCAGTGTGTTGGTTATATTGCATAGATGCAACCCATAAATTTATAGCTGTAGCCTGTACCCTTTTATTTTGAAGTCCTTTATAAAAATTAACGAAATGTTTCAAATACAAGCTCATCTTAGTTAAGAAGAGTGTTTAAAATGTAACCAGTCATTCAACATATGACTCCATGAGGAGTTAATAAAGGTTAGTTTTATGACAAGCTGATGGTAGAAATAATAGGAGCAGCGTTTGGTTCAGGCAGCCGAGGGGTCGCTGAGGGATGGTGCGGGTGGGGGTGTGTGCGGGAGATGAGCTGAGGAGAAGAGAGGGGAGGAGCAGAGGAGCAGAGGGGTGGGATGAAGGAGAGAGGAGGTGTTTGGAGTGAAGCTCAGGTGTGCGTGACTGGAAAACGGAGGGAGCTGCACCGCGATCAGTAGCTGCTTCTGGGCTGTTTGACATTGGACCATCGGCAGTCTCTCTCTCTCTCTCTCTCTCTCTCTCTCTCTCTCTCTCTCTCTCTCTCTCTCTACATGCACCCCGATTGTCAAACAGGGCCGTTGCAAGTGATTCCGGAGACATGTAGGTTTCTAATAAGGTAAGGATGACGCTTTTTATTTTATTATTATTATTAGTTTTTAGAGGAGAGGCAGGCTGACTGCATCTCAAATGAAATCCAACCTTAATTTATTCACTAATATGCACCCAGTGTCTCTGCTCAGTATTCTGATTGGAGTCAATTTGCCGCACTTTTATTTTAATTTATTTATTTTTAAAACACATGATTTTTTAAGGCACCAAACATTTAACCCTGTCACAGCCCCCCCACAGCTGCTCTGGTGCGCGCGGGGCATGCGATCATGCAGATGAGGACCGCAGGGGATCGGAACCCCGCGTTTCATCCGCGCATGCTGGAGCCATGTTCATTTCAGTCGGTGTCTCTGTCATGCTTTGCACCGTTCTCCCGTCGTGCAACCGGAAGGCTTTGATTCCGGGGGCTGAGCGGTGACACTCTGTCAGCTTTCTGCGGTTGCAGCGCTGCGACAGGATTTCTCCTTGGAGAGAGGCTGTTTGACCAGAGACTCTGCTGCTGCTGCTGCTGCTCCAAGTGATTAATTAGAGGCTCGCGAGATGTCACATCAGCCGCTTAATTAAACTTAAAATGGACGCCAAAAACGATGGAAACCACGATAAGTAGAGAGAAACTGGGTGCCAATAGAGGATTCCCAAGAGGCTGCAACTCTGTGAAACATCGCAGGGTGATGGATTTGAGGTCAGTGCCTGCTTGGGAAAGTTCTCCATGCAGAGCTAGCACCAGAGTGTTTGATTTCTCTGTTTCAGGTGATGTTAGTGTGTTTTCACTTTCCGCTGACAGATGTGATTACAGCTGTGTTACTGAGGCATTGAGGAGGCACAACAAAGCTCAGTATCTACCGAGGCGTCTGGATGTATCCTTTGAGAGCTCTGAGTTCAGGCAGGAGATTCATTTGGTTTACAGATGAAATGAAAAGGAAAAAGTAATTGGTTGCAGCTTTTAACTAACACTAGTAAGAACTCACATCTCAAATCCATTTTAATGTAGCGTTGCCCTTGATTTTACCTTCAAAGATGTCTTATGTTGGCGCTCAGAACAAGACATGCTTTTGAGTGAACAATAATTAAAGAGGGGGTGTTGTGTATTTTGCAGGCATTCAATTCTATACCACAATCAAGTAGCTTTTACCTTCAGTTGTTATGAAAATGCTGTAAATATCAAAAAGAAATCTGACAAACCTTGAAAGGGGCTTCTGTTTTTTAAAGAGCCTCCTACCGTTTCTGACACTCCCACTTCAGCACCTCTTCTCAACAGTGCTTCGGGGGAAGAGTACTCCGTGGGGCAGGAGCTCGGCTGCAGACTGAGCTCCAGGGAGGAGCTTTGTACAAATAGGCAGTGCTTTGTACCAGCAAGTATTTACACAGCTCCACATGTCCACAGGACATTCAAGGATTTCTCAGACATGTATGAATGACTCAAGGCAACACTCTGGGCATGTTTTTGATGAGGGAATAACATTAGAACGTAATTTAAAGTTAAAACAAAAGTTAGTTTTGCATAATCTCCCCCTCCCAAAAAAAAAAAAAATAAAAGCCTCCACTGAAGGAATGCATATCGCTCGCCACCCTTCATGTCAGGTCTTATACTGAGATCATCTTATGTTTAGATTAGATTTGATTTATTTATTTAACAGGAAAAGATTATTAAAAATCAAGCCTGACTCAGCATAATTGCTGTTTTACAGCAGGTTCCTGTTCTGCAGCACATAAAACACTCAGAAATACAGCATCACAATCACATCATTATACACCATAGACACAAAAACAAACAAGTATACCAAATTTCCAGAAGGCAGCATTTGCAAAATAGGACATCTAAATACGAGCACAACAAAAAGTGTCCAGCAGATGGCAGACAAGATTCTTCTTAAAGGGCTGTAGTTTTGAAATGGACTTTATGTTTTGAGGAATGTCCTTCCATGCTTTAGTATAAACATAGAAGAAAGACCTCTGGCTGCAGTTTTTGAAAGTTGGTAATATCAGTTGTCCTTTTGTAACAGATCTAGTTGAATGACCCCTTCCAGAATTTGATTTGGACAACAATGCACAGAGAGTTCCAAAAATGGCACCTTGGAAGATCTGAAAATATAAATTGATGGAGATGTAGCCATTTTGTTTAAACATTAGTAACAAGTGCAATCTCATTGGACATAACAATATCTCATGTGATCTTGTGTGGCAGCTATACTAATATGCCAAATTTTATCTCAATATTTATAAAATAGTTGGATTTTTTTTTTTACATTTCTATGCTTTCTACAAGATCACTTGGGCCATGGCGGCCATGTTGATTCCAACTGACTCCACAATAAGTCAGTTAAAGATTCAAATTTAATCATAACTTCATGAAGTTTTTATTAAAATCTGGACCTCTGGGTAATTAGATATTTTGCCTACGGGATGGGAGAGAAAACACAAGCATAAACATTATCTTGACCTTAATGATAATCAATTCACAACAGAAACAGATTTGAAGCTGAAACGATACATTTCCTGTCAACAAAGAAGAAGAAACACATTGATCTGAGACACATTGTCGCTCAGTAAAAGCCTTCTGTGCATAAGTGATTGTGTATTCTCAGCAGAGCAACTGGAGTGACCTATTTTAGTTTCTTAAGATTAATTTGTGAAATAACATGATATGATGTCTGACTAGTTCTGCTTTCCTCAGTTTTCAGTACAGAATTCATGTTCCTTTGTTTTTCAGCTAGAAAAAAAAAAGGATTTTAAATTCTCACTGAAACTGCTCTTGTATGGCAGAGAGGTGCGCACACCACCAGGGTGTTAAAAGAATAGTCCTCTTTTAAATATGTGTGGGTGGCTGCACATCCAATTGTGAATGGCATATGATGGGTTTGCTTTTTCAGTTGTTATACGTTTCTGATTTTGAGCTTGTTGATCATTACAGGCAGCAGCCTACGGATTTTTATTTGTCTTGGTGTATTTTCTATCCTATTCATTTACAGAAATGACAGGAACGCACAGTTTTTTCCCATGTTTTTGATGGAGTTTGTGTGTTTGTTTGACGGTGTTAACAAAATACTGATATATTTTGAGCTTTGACTATACTGAGCTAAAATTTGTTTTTCAAAACTTTGCCATTAAATATTGAGGTCCATAATATCTGGTTGATAAAAGAATCTACAGAAACACTTGGCAGATTTTAAGAAAACTCAGAAAGTAATTATTGGGCATAAAATTTAAGATGGCTACCACAAATAATTGATATTAGCCAACACACGAAATGAGCTACAATAAAAATGGAGCTAAAATTTTCTGTTAGTAGCTTTGTCTCTTAGCTCTACACTATTTGTTAGCAAAATATCTCATGAATCATTGTACAAATATGAGTGAAACTCAGAACCTAATTATTTGAAACTCATATTGACCCAATGGCTGCTGCAGTTAATCAATTCCAGCCAACACAAAAATTGCCACTATTTTTGTTGATACTGAGCTTTTTGGGGGATCGTCACTGAGTCATCCTCAGCACATCCTCCGAGCTCTAACAAATCTCACAAGATAACCCTAACCCAATATACCATGACATCATGCATGATATTATTTACAAGGTTTGACCAAATAACTCTGCTCTGTGTTATGATGAACAGAGCAACACCGAGTATAATTCACTTTAAAATTCATCCTCTTCTACATTTGTTGCTATAAGTTCTAATCACAAATGTTTGTGCTTTGTATAAGATAAAGTCAGAGAAAGTATATGATATGTAAGAAGTTGTTGCTAAAGCTAAAACAGATCATGCTGTCTGTTAACTGCGTGGTGAATTAAAAGCTTTCTGAACTCAGAGAACAGTGTGCCAGCACTAATAAACTGCACTGGATCAAAGTGAGGCAGAGAAAGGGACAGGGTGTGTTTGCACTTTGTGTTTTTATCCCCGTGTACAAGCTGTTTTTTAAGGTTTTGTGGTACACTCATGTGTAGTTTGAACAGAGCTAAAGATATAAATGGTTAATGGTACGAAGGTAATATTTTTTTAGGGAATGAATTGTTCATTTTCTACTGTTAGACCTTCACAACAAGAAAGCAACCTAGAGGGAGAGTGATAGAGTAACTCAGCATGTAACTCAGAGAATGGTACAAATAAAACAGTGGCTTGTTTTTTTATTTATTTTTTGATAGTGGGGAGAGAATCATGTGGTGAAATAATCTAGTGAAACAGAGAGCAGGTACATGAAGTGAAAAGAGCTTGAGTTTATTTGTTAACACTATACATTTCTGAACTGTGTGGCTGTGTGTGGGGAGTTGCATTGATGACCGTTCATGCTGTTGTCTTAATTGTCTTTTTTAGAGCTAAAATATTAATTTATTAACAATCAGAAATTGACCTTTTAAGTACCATGTTCTCAAATGCATTCATAGCTTTTTCTGGTATTCAAGATCATCATTCATCTCTAGCCTTTTGGTCCGGTTCACCTGCTTTTCTGTTGACTTTTATACACTAATAAAATAGTTCACTGGGATTTTACATTGTGAAAGCAAAATGTCCTCTATGCGCAATGTAAAGCTGAAACATAGCTGAACACTATTTAAACTTCTGCTATGTCTTAATTTAGGGATTGCAGCCCACGTAGACTGTGACCCACAAAGTCCAGGTAGGATAGATCTAACAGCTAATAAACAAGATGGTCTAGCCTTTGGATGATGTATGTGTGCATGCCATGCACTGCCTCACTATCATAGTGTTACGTTTTCTACCACATTACTCATTAATGCCTAAAACATAAAGTAGGTTGGAACATGTACTGTATTTATACATTTTTTTCACTGGAGACATAACTTCCCAGAATTCAATATATTTTAAAAACATTACACGTAAATACACCTAATAATAATTTGGGTTTAGCTCCAGTGTAAGTACTTGTAATTGCATGTTAGTTAACGTCACATCGCAGCATAAATTTCATCAGCTAAGTTGCTTTAGAACAAACTCTTTAATCCATGATGATTGTCCAAACTCCACTATTTTTCTTTTCCTGTAAAAACTGATGACGACACAGAGAATCCTGGAATATCGTCGACTGTGAAGGATAGTTAGATGCAACCTTTGTTTTCGGGGTTTTTAGAGCTGCATTTGAAGGTCACATGAAAAGGAGCCCATGAAAAGGGACAGCCTTTAGCGCAGCGTAGTGACCTAACCGACCCACAAGTGTGCACTACAGAGGACACAGACCCTGAATTGAGACACAGCCCATGTGTGTTTCAGTGGACTGGAAGTAGCCATAAATGCATCTATACAGTACATCCCAAAATACTGATGCCGAGCATGCACATTACCTGTAAAAATGTCAATACACACAGTTTTATTGAAGTGAGTGTTTTACATAAAAAAGTGAATACTGAAAAGTGAATCATTTGTAACTGGAGATTTGCTCAGATTAAACAAAAGCCATGATCATAGTAATAATGTTTGTTTAAGCTCTGTGATGAAGTTCACTGAAACTATAGAGAAGCATCTGAAACCATATCAATATAATGAGCAGCTTATATTTTAGCACTGATTACCCTTCACATATAAAACAAGCAGCGCACTTAGAGTGCAGATTTTACAAGGATGCAGTGTGGCCTGAGCTGCAGCAGAGACATGACTTACCTGAAGTCAGCCTGTATGCTCTAACCTGTTAACATGGGAGCCAAGAAAGGAAATGTAACGTGTTGCATAAACAGCACACAGCAAGGAGCGTGGCCCCACACCTAAGGTGTCTTTTAAACATCAGCAGCAGCAGCAGCAGCTTATTCCAGCAGTAGACGGAGAGAACGGGAGACAGAGAGCGACGTACAATCGCATCACTTATTATCTGGGAGTATGTGTGAAACAGAGCTTCGTTCTGTTTGATTTGTTCGTCACTGGAGCAGCAGTTAACCTTTCTGCCGTGCTGCCAGTTGATTACATTCGGGGAGACTCTCCATCCCTTAGTGCGTTGTTGTACTTCTTGTTCCTTCCGGCCTTTTTTTAAATCTCATTGTCCTCTCTGCCTCCTCTTTCTTTTTCTTATTTTTAAACAATTTCCTCCTCATTTAGTTGATCTCTGTCTTCTCTCCATCTGTCTTTTGTTATTTAGGATACACTACTTCCTTCATTTTCTCTGTGTCCATCTTGTCCCCTTTATGGTCCCAACATTCATTTTACAAACAAGAGCCTCTTTTGCACAGGCAGTGACTCACAGCGTCTGCTGTAGGAATCAGTCCAGGTTTTGCTACTTTTTTTCCTTATCATTAATTAGATTGCTCCATTGAAAAGAAGTGAGTTATTTATGTGCCATTAGGCTTAACAATTTAAAAAAATTCTACTGACTGTTAAACATAGGATGTATTTTGATTGCTAGATTCATCTGTGGCATCCACACAGAAGCTGGCTTGTCAATATTTTGCAAAGGGGATTCGTATTTGTTGTGCTAACCTTGGTTTTGCACCTCATTGAAAATGCAGTCTATAATTTTACAACAATGCAGAAGCCCACATTTGTCTTTTTCTTTTTGTCCTGATGCATCTCTGTTTAATGATGGACGGTCTTTCTTCGCAAAAATGGCTTCTTTTACTCCTCTCTCAAACCAACGTTCCTCTCTATCAAGAATGAGAACATCCTCATCTCTGAAAGAGTGACCGCTGGCCTGTAAATGAGTGAAAACTGCAGAGTTCTGGCCATTAGATGTAGCTCGTCTGTGTTGGGACATTCTTTTGAACAGTGGCTGCTTTGTTTCCCCGATGTATAACTGGTTGCAGTCCTCCTGGCACTTAACAGCATATACAACATTGCTCTGTTTGTGCCGGGGCACCGGATCTTTGGGGTGAACCAGCCTTTGCCGTAATGTGTTTTGGGGTTTGAAAGCCACTGGGACATCATGTTTAGAAAATAAACGTCTCAGTTTCTCCGAAACACCCGCAACATACGGAATAACCACTGGTTTGGGTCTGGGTTTGGGGTCTTCATTTTCACCTGAAGGTTGCATGGAATCCTGTCTGTGTTTCCTGTCTGCTTTCAGGAAAGCCCAGTCAGGATAACCACACTGCTCCAGGGCCTGTCGTGTGTGTGATTTCTCTTTCTGCCTGGCTCCTGGGTTTGTAGGGACACTGTCTGCTCTGTGGTACAGAGTCCTGATCACTCCTAACTTGTGTTCCAGTGGGTGGTGGGAGTCAAAACGCAAATATTGGTCTGTGTGGGTGGGCTTACGATARACGCCAGTTTCCAACCGTCCTCCATCCGAAACCGACATCGCAATCCAGGAACGCCAACCTGCCATTTTTTACATCCTCTCGTGTGAACTTAATATATTCATCCACAGAGTTGATGTGATCAGTGAAATGTTGGACTTCCTGGGCTTTAATTTTAACCCAGGTGTCGTCAACATATCTGAACCAATGGCTCGGTGGCACCCCTGAAAAGGACATCAAGGCTCTCTTTTCCACRTCCTCCATGTACAGGTTTGCAACAATAGGAGAAACTGGGGATCTCATGGCACACCCATGTTTCTGCCTATAATATTGCCCCCTGTACGTGAAGTAGGTTGACTCCAGGCACAGTTTGAGGAGTTGGCACACTTGTTCTGTGGAAAGTGTGGTTCTGCTGCTGAGAGTGGTGTCTGATTTCAATCTTTCACAGACCACATCCACTGCCTTATCAACAGGAACGCACGTAAAGAGCGATGTAACATCAAAAGAGACCATAGTTTCATCCGCCTCCATGATGACATCCCTCACCTTGTCCACAAAGTCCATAGTGTTCTGTATGTGATGTTCTGAGCTGCCAACTAAAGGACCAAGTATAGACGTCAGATATTTAGAAACATTGTAAGTGACAGAGTTGATCATGCTAACAATGGGTCTTACTGGTACATCCTGTTTGTGAATTTTTTCTTTTTGCTTAACCAAAACCAAAACGAATCCAGAATTACAGCAAATGTACATTTCCCCCCCTAAAGCATTTATGTTTTTGTTTAATCTTGAAAACAACTTAAGCTGTTGCAGGAGGAATGCATGGGACTCTGTTAGAAAGAACTCCTGCTGTTAAAGTAGTTCAATAAAGTAGTGGCAGCAGGGTAACCGTAAGCTCCCTCTGAGTTAGAGTCAAAGGACTTACTTATGGATTGACCCCAAATATAATGTTCAAACTCATTTTGGGTATTTTAGTCATTATAACTCCAAACAAAAATATATTCATGAGACAAAAACATACACACCCGTAAAAAAACAAGAGCTTTAGGTTCACCTCCCAGATCTTATTGGAGTAATGTATAAATCTTGTCAGAAAACCAGCTGTGAACAGTACAAGTTGGAAAAGCTGGGCAAGTGTTTGTGAGGCATCAATACGTAAGGTGTGTAGAGTGCTGGAGCTCAGCCAGTACTATAGTCATCACATTAAGCTTTAACAGAAAAAAAATGGCTGCTCAGGACCAGCGGTGGATTTAGGATTTTTCTGAGTAGGAGGCCATCAAGGAGCCACAATATTCATAGAGGGGTCAAGCATTTGTTCAACATTTTTACACACAAATCCCCAGTTTTGTTAAAGTGTGTACATTTATTTTAAAATAATTTAAAAAAGCTATCACCACAACTTCTCATTACCAATATTACATGAATTTATACTGTGCAATGTACAAAGTATTTTGTCTATGTACAGTGTACATAGACAAAATACTCTCAAACACACAGCATGTGAGAAAATCTAGCCTTGAAAGACTTTTTTTGCAGGATTTTTCAAATTTTCTTAAGAAGAAGACGTCTGTGAGCTTGATTAAATATGGAATTTCCTATTTGACTCATTAGTGCCACTAGTGTTTGGGTGTAGAACTGCATCCGCCACCATCGCTCTCAGGCAAAGGACAGATGAGCAACAGGACAGGGACACTTCAGAGGGCTAATCAGATTGCAGCTGGGGCCAATGCCCCGTAGAACTGCCCCTGCTCAGGACGCCTCTGTAGCTCTGACCCAATGCAACATGAAGGTGTTCGCTGCATGTCATTGCTGCACTGCCACACTGTTTTTCACTTAAACCTGTCTGAATGAATGCTCTGATAGAAATCAATGCTCAAAATGAACATGAAATAAGGTAATCATTAGCAGCAGTATTGATCCCAGCAGTGCAGTCATTGGCTCTGTGAGTAGCTCCAGCTTCACAGAGCTGCTGCAGGCAGACAGGCAGGCAGGCAGGCCCTCAGCCCTCCCCTCACTTGCAAATGAACTCATAAATACAGCTGACATTAACGACACTGAGCTAGACTGAGCAGCCGGTATAAAACTGTTTGTTTGTTCTAAAACATTTTAATGTTCCTGCATATTGTTATGAATGGGTTTGTTTAGACACTGGTGTGTAGGATTTTGCTGGCTATTTGTCTCAAGCCTAAAATTAAAACCTTAAAACCTTTATTGCAACCAAATAAAGATGACAAAAGTCCCCTAGAAAATCTGAACCAAGGCGATTCTTATGTTTCAGTAGCAATGTTGGTCAATGCAGTGTTTATTCTGCAGCTTTTTACTGTTTGCTTGTTTTCCAGAAAAATTCTGGGATTTCATATGAAATGTCATTTAGTGAAAAATATCAGCTCAACCTTTTATTTCCTTTCAAAAAAAAAATTCAACAGTTTACATTTAGGACGTTTTCATTTAGAAATTGTAACAAATAACACATCTTTTTCTGCATTCATTTTAATTTAATCTCAGTCAATCTCAAATATGATCAAACACATCCACAAAGTACCAAGAATATTCAATTTGCCACATGTCTGTACACTTCAAGTTCAACAAAAAATACATTGAAATTCCATGTTATATATTTAGCACAAAAAGTAAGGTAATATGTTTTTGGTAGATTATTTCTTTGTTGTACCAATGATTCTTTTATACTGTTAGAAAGCCTGTTATATTTCCTTTTAAATGGTGCCACATTTGTAAGGAACATGCATTTGTGGGATGAGCAATAGAGCTGATTATGTGGGTTGCAAACATGAAAATTTGCCAAATCTTCTCTGCCAAACAGCTTATTTTGCAGTTGATTGTTGTTTTGATAACCTCAGGTGCTGCCAATCAGGTGCCTGCTTTATGATTTATTACCAAGAGGCATTGTTACAAATATAGTTAGTAAATATAGTTTGGATGTGAAATGAACTGCTATTGACAAGGACTGCTATTATTCTTGCCAAATTCAAAGGGTAACAAATTCTAATGATGTCTTTTTCTGCTCATAGGTTTACGTGAACATGTCTTTCATTCACCTGCTGCTGTGGAGACCAGATCAGCCTTATAACTGCAAGAGCCATGAGTTGTTTCAGCTAATGAGACTCAGCCCAAAATTTGGTTTGAATTTTCAAGGTTGCATTGCTGCACCTGTCCCATCTGTTTCAGTGATGCTTCCTCCTTGACATCCAAAGGAAAGAAAGGAATATACAAAAAAAATCATACTTTTGTCTGATCCTCCACTGTGCCACTAGCTCTTGTCATGGGCGGTAAAAGTGTCTCCCAAGCAACTCTGTGACGACTCTTCACGGCAAAATCTAGGATCTGGCTCGTCTCTGTCACACCGTCGGACCAAGATGAGGCTCTGGTTGCTGCTAATTTTGTCTGTCTGGGTGAGGCCCGATCGCGCTGACACCGCTGGGTCAAACGAGCGTCGAGTCGTCGCACACATGCCGGGTGACATCATCATCGGAGCATTGTTCTCTGTCCATCATCAGCCTCCCGCTGACAAGGTGATTTAGTGGTTTTGTGTGTCTGAGCACGGCTCGTGTCATATTAGATTATAAAATTCCAGCTTTCTGTTATCTCATTAGAATATCTCTGACAGAAACGCCATGAAAATATACAAATGAAGAAAGAGAAGATGTTAAATAATGAGCAGAAAATTCACCAGCTATGATTTTTAACCAGACTTGGAAACTATTGTACTAAAGGGTCATAATGCTGCTTTGATTTTCAAAGGACTATATTTAAGTTGAAGACTGAGTACCTTTTTGTGAGTCCACGAACATTCAAGCCCTATTAGTTGCCTCAGAAACCAACACTCACCCACTGACATTTAAGCTTTCTTCCCATCTCATTATGAATAATTGGAGAAAGGTGGAAAAACCAAGTCTATGCACCTGAAAGCCTTGTGAATGTAAAATCAAAATTAGCCAAGTGCCTATTTGTCCAACAAATCCGTGTAAAAATCTGATTATTTAACCTGCTAAAATACAAGTGAAGTAATGAGTCTGAGTAAATGACGCAGTTTAAAAAGGTGACAAGACTTCAACATTGCTTTAACGACAAATCAGTTTGATCTATTTTCATCTTTCGCCCTGTCCGCTTCAGGTGCACGAGCGTAAGTGTGGCGCCGTGCGAGAGCAGTACGGCATCCAGAGGGTGGAGGCCATGATGCACACGCTGGACCGGATCAACGCCGACCTGCAAATCCTTCCCAACATCACCTTAGGCTGCGAGATCCGGGACTCGTGTTGGCACTCTGCTGTGGCTCTGGAGCAGAGCATCGAGTTCATAAGGGATTCTCTGGTCTCGTCTGACGAAGCCGAGGAGTGGGGCGGGATGAGCTCGTGGGGAGGAGGGGGCGGAGGAGGCGCGATGAAGTGCGCAGACCCCGCTGCCACTCCAATGCGGGGGAAGAAGCCCATTGTGGGTTTAATTGGACCGGGATCAAGTTCTGTGGCCATTCAAGTGCAAAATCTGCTACAGCTATTCAACATCCCACAGATTGCCTACTCTGCCACCAGCATGGACCTCAGCGATAAGGTGAGCTCATTTAACTATTGACAGATTTCATCACTAAATGCTGAAGCAGATCAATTTAAAAATCAACTTTTTGACTTAAATACATATATTTTACAATTTTATTATTTAGCCACCTTCATAACTTCTTGTCAATCGTTTCCTTTTCTACTGTTTCAGAGCCTCTATAAATATTTTATGCGGGTCGTGCCTTCAGATGCCCAGCAGGCACGAGCTATGGTGGATATTGTCAAAAGATACAACTGGAGCTATGTGTCTGCTATCAACACTGAAGGTAAACTGATTTATTTTATTGTTTGATATGTACAGAGAAAATCTGGGTAACGCCTCCTTTTACGGTACCCTTATTACTATGTAATTACAAGGTAATAAAAAGGTCATTAAATGGAAATTACTACCTTATTACCATGTAATTACATGGTAATTAAGGTACCAAAAAACTACTGTTAGTAAAACTACCTTTATTGGGTAACTCCAATCAAATTACTTTTCGATAGTAACTCAACACTATATTTATAACCAAAAGAATGCAACAAAATTTGGGGGTTAGTGGTTAATTGCAATAAAATATAACTTTAAAACTGTCCAAATTACCTATTACTTATTTGGGTGTTACATGATGAATTGTAATACATTACCAGGTAAGTGCTACATTACTGAAGACAATTAATTACACAGTAAAATTGTACTCTAATTACCACGTAATTACATGGTAATAAGGTAGTAATTACATTTAATTACCTTGTAATTACATGGTAATAAGGTAGTAATTACATTTAATTACATTTTATTACCTTGTAATTACATGGTAATAAGGTAGTAATTACATTTAAATACATTTTATTACCTTGTAATTACATGTAATAAGGTAGTAAGTACATTTAATTACATTCTATTACCTTGTAAGTACATGGTAATAAGGTAGTAATTACATTTAATTACATTCTATTACCTTGTAATTACATGGTAATAAAGGTACCGTAAAAGAAAGCGTTACCAAAATTGGTCTGTGTGGCTTTTTCACTATTTTTTTTACCCATCTTTGTTCCTCAAGTTTGTTCACTCACATCTTTTTAAATGTAACACCTTCCAAATATCATCCTGCAGGGATTAAAGCTGCCATGATGGATTTCTGTCATGTTGTACATGGCCAGCAAGGAAGTGTTTTATTGTTGTGGTCTCATCTGATCTAATTATGATACAGGGATCAAACTGGCACTGCTTTTGACGAATAAAGTAAAAACCAGAGCCATGGTTTTACCCAATCAGGACAGAGCAAGGTGTGTCACAACTAAGTGAGAGATAGCAGGTGAAAGCACCAATCATTCTACAGGTCCTGTCCTGAGCGAGCAGCGGTGTCTCTACAAGTGCACATGTGATCATATCACTGCAGCCAGGGAAGACAACAAAGCTTTTACACCATCACCCACACCCTCTCACCACACCCCTGACCTCTCCGGGACTGTTTGTAACGATGTGTCCAGCTTTCTGCGCGTGACCAAACTGCTGCTTTTTCCTTCAGAGCATGCACAGCCTGTTTGAGTTTTGGTGAGATGGACTCCGCCCACATGTTAAAATCTGTCTAGCCCACTTCTGGCCGACATAACGCTTAGCCCAGATACTGCAAAGAATGACGGCCCTTTGGTGGCCAAGATGCAATGTGCCAGAGGTGGTCCATGCATGAACCAGCACCGCAAACAAAACAAAACAAAACAAAACAAAACAAAACAAAACAAAACAAATAAATAAATAAATAAATAAATAAATAAATAAATAAATAAATAAATTAACAAACAAACAAACAAACAAACAAACAAACAAATAAATAAAACATACCATCTTAAAACAGTGCCATCATTGCCAGACCTGGCGCACAAATGGTTGACAAAGCATTTGCCATGCCAGCAGTGTCAGCTTGAGTCCAGATCTGGCCCACACCTGTGTGCTGTATATGTGTGTTTTTAAATTTAAATATTATTAACACTAAAAAACTAAAACACTAAAAAACAAACATTTGTGTGCCCCAGATTACAACAAAGATGTGTTTCTCTATTTAAACATTAATCACCCCCCCAAAAAAAACCCAAACAAACTCACAATGTTAAAAATTTAAGTCAATTTTAATTCTACTTAATTATAGCAATAACACGGTTTTGACTTTGTATGTAAGCTTGCTTATATTTGGAACTTCAATGTAACTGTATCATGACAAATGTGATTCAGCATAAATTACAGTAGAAATCCTGTAAATATAATTTTGTCAGTGCAATTTGTGCAAAAAAAGTGGAGAATCAAGTTTCTAGTAAATCTGCACCATGAAGCCTAAAAAAGTTTTCTTTACATCCAGACAGAAGTGCTTCATCAGTTCAAAGAAAAGAAGAGAGAGAAGAGAGAGAAATGTAACTGATGAGATCTGCAGCACTGTAGTGACGTTACTGCAGCAGAGAAGGAGGGTGAATTGTTTTTTGTAAAGAGACAAGTTTTCAGCTTATGAAGAAAAATGTGGTAAGAATTAAATTACCGTCACTGAATTGAGGCCAGCTTGATGTCAAAAAGATGATGAAACAGTGGTGTCCAAAAGTAGGGAAGTAGATTAGCAGGTAATGGTTGCGGGATAGTTGGAACAAAAAGGTCACAAGAAAAGTAGCTGTGCCAGAAAGCCAACAAAGATTGTGTCAGGTGCCAGTGGCTTCTGAGTACTTCTCAAAATAAATCCTCAAATCAGTGAAGAACAACAGAGGGAAAACAATTAAAGAGCCGTCAGAGAAACAAACTAAGAGTTATGTGTATTCATTTGTTCTATAAATATGACTGTGGTAAAGCCGAATGGTCAACCAAAAGGACATGTGACAACTACCTGAACATTTATTTATTTTATTTTATTTAAGCTTTATTTCAACAGGCAAAACATTAAGAACAGTTTCTTATTTACAACGTTGGCCTGAAGCAGGAACAATGTAGTGTGTGTTCAAACAAAATGTCCCCAAAAACATGCACAAATCAATATTTCCACATGAAGGGCCGTGGATTCTGATATCAAACTCTGCTTGTAAGGAGTCGAAGTAGTCTTGTTCTGGATGAATCGATGCATCATCGGTGTGACAGAGTTGTGATGAGGTGGTGAGAATGAGCAGGAGCAGGTGATGCATATAAGTTTTAATGAGATGAAAAATATTTGGCTAAGCAGAGTTATTGATGCTGAACTGTGTGAAGCATATGATATGGGATAAAAATGTATTTGTTATTATCGATTAACAGATGACAAATGCACTTGCATGTTTGTGACCCTGTGTTCTAGAATTATACTTACAAAGTATCAGTCAAATTCATTTCTTTATTTTAAAAGTTTTAAATAGTAGGCTATTAAATGTTTTTCACAATGTGGAGGGCAGCATGTCTTTAATTGACAGATTGACAGAGTGCATTTTCTCGTATTCCTTGTACTCCGATGTACTTGAATTTCCCCACGGCTGTTTCTATTCTATTCTATTCTATTCTATTCTATTCTATTCTATTCTATTCTATTCTATTCTATTCTATTCTATTCTATTCTATTCTACTGCTGCCTCCTGCCATTCTTATGCTATGGGCTCTTGTGCACTTGATAGTGAGAGTGCACACAAAAAAATACATCATCACACAGCACTGATCACAGTAATTGCAATGCGCCAAATATTAATCAGAGACAGTTTTTCTTATGATTAATTGCACACAATAAGGTTTTACCTAACCCTAGTAAAATGTACTATAAAAATATAGATATTTGTATTAAAATTTGTTGCTATTTGTGCTGCATTTTGTTTGTGTGAAAGGTTCAGAGGTTATTAAGCCTTAGTGGTTAAAGAGGTGATATTTTGTTTTAAAATGCATAAATAATACTATTTATAGCTACTTGTAAGATTGTCTTGGTTCTGCATTGTTTTTTGTGTTTTTCTTTGACCTTTTTATTCAGACATTCATGTAATGTCTTCTCGTGTGATGCAGTGAGCTTTAGTTTTTCTGCTGGGAAAGAGGGCATATACGTTTCTTGGCAGTAACTGGGTGAACAGAAAGGTACCCAGAAAGTTGCCAGTTATTTCCAGCTGCAGACTTTGGTTCAGAAGGTGCTTTGTCTTTCAAGCTGTCAGAGGAAAGCCCCGGCATTACTTCTAGTGATGAGGAAGACAAGTGGAGCTGCAGCTAAGAGACGGCGTGAGCTCAAACTCTCCTCAGAGCAAGATAGGAGTTTGGAGAGTTCAGGCTCGTCTAGGAGTTCTACCCACACAGTGACCACTACCTGATCTCAGGCTGAGTGAGGAGTGATTGTGCAGCGTGTAAAGGAGAGTCACTCAGAGACTCACAAGAGCATAAAACCAGCTTTCTGCTCACAATGATTTCAGTACAACCTTGCAATATATCCCACAGGAATTAAATTCTAATATGTTTGTGGGACTAACAGGTTTCCTTCCTCTAAACATGACATGGTCTTTGGAAAAGAGTTGATTCTATTATTTCACTGTGTCCAAAAGGCACGTGAATGTCACAGTTAAACACTTGTATGGAGTTGGATGCGCTCTTAGGTGTGGCGTACTCTGTTTTGGGGGATTCATCACTTTGCTTTGGAAAATGCAAGTCATGACAGACAAAGATGTGCTCCTAACACCTAACATTTGCACCACAGCTACTGCCCATACTTTTCACGTTTTGCCTTTCTTGTCACGGAATTGGTTGTCAATGGCCTCTCTCGGCTCATGCAGTTAGCAGACGGCGTTTGATCTACTTGTAGCATTGTATCCGAAGGCTGCACACGTTTAGTTTGGGTGGACTGCATGTGTTGGCTTAATATAGTCAGTTCTTCACTTTCCAGAGGGTGAGACTGACCTAAATAGATACCAACTTGGAACCATGTCTAAGTTCATCATGGCCTCTGGCAGGATGGTTCTTATCATATCTGTAGTGCCACAGGAAAAAAAATCACAACTACAAACCTAATTGTAAAAGTCAATTTGGAACTATAAATTAAGACAATAAAAGCACCGTAAAATATAATTAACATTTCTGATTCTGATCTTATTTTATTGGAAAACATTGAACAATGCCCTTGAAACAATACAAACTTGTTTAACTGGACATGAGGTCATGCTAACAGCAGAGCAAAATGAGACAGTGGCTGATTGTCAGACCTTTAAGGAGGTAGACGAGAAGCTGATCTTTTGCATCGATCTTATCTTAGTATCGGCCGATCTCCAGTCTTGCAAAAATAAGGAAATCAGTGCAGGTGCATGTCTAATACAG